GGCGTCCTCATCGGTGTTGATGCCGAACAGAAGAGTTACTTTGGTCTTTTCAGAGGGATTGGAGAAGATGCCCTTCAGGAGTTGAGCCATGGGGGTAATACCTCTAGTTGTAATGTTAGGGCTGTACTGGATAGGGCTGAATCGGATATCCGAGTGCTTACGCCCCACCGGCAATCATAACGATGTGATTGAATTCATTCTGCTTCCACTTATACCCGCCGAGAGCTGCGAGAAAAAACAACGAATCTCCCGGCTTGAGGGAATGGATGTGCTGGCTTGCCTGGCCTCCTGGGTAACGCTTGATTACCAGATCTACATAGCCAGGTACATCTAATATTTCCAGTTAGTTTATTTTTTAATCGGATGGAGACGGTAGCGTACTTAGATCGCTGATGGGTGTGTAAGGTCTGACTACCGGACGCCATTGGCCAGCCTGAAAAGAGATTCGAGTCAGTATTGATATATCACAATAGGGACGGCGGTGATTTGTGGACTTGATCGGAGTCAACAGTGGTCGTCACTCAGAACTCCAGGTCCGTTCCAGAAAGAAGAAGACCGCATGAGAATACGAACAGGTTTTGTGAGTGTTAAAAGAGAGGCTGCAAGTTCACGTGTCAGCGAGATACTGGACTGATTCGGGGGGGCTCTCAAAGCATACAAATTAAGGATAAGCCGCTGACTGAATCTTCAGTAGGCAACCTGAACCTAAAACGACTCGAGTCGTGGTTCAATTTCTCGACGCTGTGTAGCTGTAACGAAGTGAAAGCTGGACCTCCCCCGAAAGTCTTTGGCGGCGACTGCTGGTTACTCGTGCCTTGTTCAGTTTTTTTGTCTGAAATCGAGTAGTAGGTGAAAGCTCCAATTGTAGTGACCACGGCCGTGAGGACCAATGGATTTAGCTGGCTACGTATCACAGGGGGCGCTGGTCTTGTGAAGATTTTGTTCAACATAATGTTAGTGGAGTAGTGGGTGACTAGAGTTGTGATTTGAGGGTGTATTTTAGTCCAAGTTTATATTATGTGTGGATGAATGGTCGAATGATCTTGGGTTTCAATAAGCTTGCGGTGATACGAGGAATGGAAAGGGAGAGGTTTTTTTCCACAAATTTATATAGTATCTAGAGATGCCATCAGTAGATCCTTCATACGATTTCGCTAACCTGAGCCGGTCTTTCGGACTTGGAACGCGGGTGGAGTCCACGTATGTCTCATGACTTTTCAGCGAAGAAAAAGAAAAGTGACGGCCAAACGGAGTATGGATGTACCATCGTGCCATAGCAACAAACATGACGAAGACACACAGCATGACAGCGCACAAATATTGCGTGTGCGTTAAATTTAGAGCCTGAAACAAGATAGCGAAGGCAGCTTGTAGCTAAGCGCGCTCGAAGGCGAGAGAGCATGCTCTGCGCACCCTCTCTTCCCCAAATTTCGCGAGCACATAGTTTTCGAAAGCTTTATCAATCATATGATTCTTATTTATTACATAATCAGATATTTAGTTGGTGGTTACCCGTCCGCACTTCTCCGGCCGGGCCTGGAAATTAGAAATTAGCTGCTAGAGGAAAAATCTAAGTATAACATTCAACAGAGATAATTTTATGGCTCAGCTAGTTTTTTGTTCAACGGATCTCTATTTTGGATAGCAATTGCGGTAAATTTGAGATTGCCGTAAATGAATGACTAAAGCTGATAGCCACCTGATCCCGTCTTGTATATCCGTGATATTTCCATCTTCATGTGTGTATATCCATATACCAAAGTATTGTATCATATTAAGCTATTTAGTCTACACTTCTATCCCGTCTGCTGAACAGCTGTAGGCTGGGAGGTCACCACCACTATATTCCAAGGCCCATAAGATTTCAACCCCGTTTCCACTGTCAATAGTCACCGGAGTAGATGGTTAGGATTATAATTTCTCCAACGATACTTATTCCGTCGAGTTGGGGAGAAGGAGGACGCTATAATAATGTTTGGATACGTATTATATATTGATGAGAATTGAGGATATAGAGATGTACCACTACACCTGTCTGACCGTTATACTCGAGTATTTCATTAGTAGATATGTGTAATATTATATCCTAATATAGACTACTGTATAGTACTAGAAAGTATAATATAACTTCTAAGGACCCTTGTAACATTCATTGTAACATCCTTTAGCGACACCTGATACAAATGTACTACTCAAGTCGCGTCAACTCACAGTATAAATATCTCAGCTCAAAATCATATTTTCATAGCCACGTCTTCAAGAAAGAGCGATCCATAATCCCAAAATTCCCCCACCACCAACCAATCCTACCCTAATCCAATTCAACGCAGAAAATTTATCCAATAGACCCCTCATCTTCTCTTGATCAGTCGCCGAACTCTCCTAAGATCTGTGAACTCAGCCGCTTCTCCATCACCATTAACAGAATCTCTCGCACGTCTCTCTCCCGAACCACTCCCTTCTACCTTAGACCTCTCACTCCTGGCACAGGTGCGTTGTGCTGACACACAACGCAGGCCTCTTCCAAAGGGCAAAAGGGCGGATTTCTTTGATTTTTGGGATTTTGGAATTGCTGACTAAGAAAAATCGATCAAAAAAGTGCCAAGAATTTTCAAGTGAAAAGTGGGACTTTCACCTACCTCCCCCTAAAAGCGCTCTTAATGCTTTTCAAAAGACCTCTCCTTATACTTCGAAAGATACACTATCCTTCTCTACATTCATCCTTAGGTATCCCCTAGACTGCGGGTTGCGGCCGGCATATGTAGCCGGTGCACTAGTCAGAATATCGATAATTTTATTAAATTATATCAAATATGAAAACTATTTAATTGAAGTTTAAGATTAGAAATTATTGAAATAATAATGATTAAAAGGTTTATTATAGATTTATATATTTTACTTAAGAAAAAAAGTATATAAAGTTTTTAAATCCTATTATATTTTATTTTCAACATAATACAATTTACGATTTCGAGAGCTTTTAGATTATAATATTTTGATTGATTAATAAGGTGTAATAAGTGGACCCGGCTGTAACCCGCAGTCTAGGGGATAGGCCTCGGTATATAGGCCTCGGTATTAGGGGATAACGTTGACTGGGCTAAAACCCAGAATGACTGAAGACATACAATGAAAATGTCCGACAATTATTCTTGCGAAACCTGATTGAGATATGGACAACAAATCGATGGGAAGATATGAATCAACATCTCGCTCTAGTTTAATATGCCATAAGACTCCACGAAATCAGCCACTTCATCTGTAATAATTCTAGTAGACTTATACTTGTGATGCTGTCGACGGTCGCCGCCGCCGCCCCCCCTTCACACCGTCACATCCAAGAGACCTGTCAACAAGAAACGACAACTCGCGCCAACTCCAGCTTTGATCTCATCAATCTCCAGTGATAAGCTGATAGACCCTTTCTTTTCATTTTCACAAATATACATCTAGATTCTCAACAAGCCGCCAAGGGAATATACAGACCTGATATACTTCCTTTCATGGCTAGCCCAGCCAAAATGGGAAGGGTCTCCTCAGAAAGTAGGTTTCCGAACAGAAAGAGACAAAAAGACTGCAGCATAGGAGTTTTTTGGTCAAAGTGTATACAGTCTCCGAAGGAGATATAGTAGCCTACACTGACGGCTCTCTGATTGAGTTAAGGGATATAACTTATACAGGTGCTGGTTGGACAGAACTTCAAGGAAAGATCACGCTTTTCAATGAAAGTACGCTCTTAGGCATAAATTGCGAAGTGTACGACGCCGAAACTTTCGCAGCACTAGCAGGACTAAAAGCAGCCATGTTTTCACCAATAACTCACCTGTCGGATCAAATCATCATCTGCCTCGACAATCTGACAGTAGCTGCTAGGTTACTACATACTACTACTGGTTCCAGCCAAGCCACTTCTGCTGAATTTAACGACTAGCAAACACTTGGGCTAGCGGAGAAAGAGCAGTTTAAAAACAAGCAAGCAAGGTAGAGGTCTGGTGGTACTTAGGGCATTCAAAGATTCCAATAAATGAAGTTACAGACAAGCTAGCAGGAGAGGCGGCGAGGGCACCTGTAGTGAGCTCAATCCTAGCTACCCTGGCTCATATACCCAGAAAGAGCAAGGTTTCAGCCCTATAGGCTCATCAGACGACCTGGCACTCAACTTCCCCCAAACTCTATCAAGAACTAGGGATTACAGTATGCAGCTACCCACCAGAACTCGCTCTACCACGAGCGAGCTTGAGTGGAATGTATGCTGCTAGAACAGGACTTGGGGATTTCGCAGCATATCACAAGATTTTCCATCAAAAGGACGCTTTTCTAGGCCAACAACTCGGTAAATACCGATTCGAGTACTCTGAATGAGATTATAACAACTAGATTTGGCTGTCATATATAGAGAAACAACTACTGGGTAGCTCGTATGATCATGGACCTAGATTATGTAGAGAACGCTGGTGATTTCAGCCCAGCACGTCCTATTAGGGCCACGTCTCGCGCGGCGGGCGCCCCGCCAGACGAAAGATAATAAACAAACAAGGTCACTTGGTCACTCGAAAATCTTATGGATCGTAGCAAGGATTTGACCAGGACCACGACTTGGTTTCTCCACACAAATCTTGGTGAGGAAAAGAAGCAGAACGTTGTACTTTTTTAACCATACGGGTTAGGGCCTGAAAACACTGTAATCAGGATTGAGCCCCGGATGGACTACCCCTCACTTCCACCACGCAAAAAAGACCGGGTAACACCGGAAATGGGTACTTGACCCCCGGTACAAGCCCGCTTTTCATTTTGTGTGGATAAAAATATGTCACCACCTGGTAGTTTGGGTGTGGACCACTGCCGGCCTCCAATTGGGGAAATGTTATGTTCGGACTGCGGACTCTGTTGATAGTCCTTTAAATGGTATGTGAGTATTATATAAACTACTTCCTTCAGCAATAAACTTCATCTATCCCCAAACAGAATATATGTTCTATCGAACTACATCAATGTCGACAATGCTGCCTCAAAATCTGTCTCTGCCCTTCGACAATATCACAGCAATAGTCGTTGTGGCCGCCGCAGTCTCTACTGTAAGTAGGCAGAGACTCTTTTCTCCCTCATCCACTGCGGCCAAACACCCTTAATGGCTTTAGTGATCGATGTTCTCACACACAGCCAGATTATACTTTACAATGTTTATACTAATCCCTTGTCTCAATTACCGGGTCCTTGGTATACGAAATGGTCATCGGGTATCCTAAAGTATAACATTATCAAAGGAACGAGACCTTTGTATGTTCACGACCTCCACTGCAAATATGGTAAGTCTTCATTTAAGCCGTTATACGACTTCGGCCATTCGTACACGTTGCTCATCTTTGCAGGTTCGATTGTCAGAGTTAGCCCGACTGAAGTCCACGTTTCCGATATCGCAGCCACAAAGAAGATCCATAATGTTAAGGGTTCTTTCAAAAAGTCGCCTTGGTATAGGTTGTTCACACCTCCAACGGTCTTGAATGTATTCAATACTAGCGATATTGAATTTCATCGAAATCTTCGACGCCTTCTTTCATCGCCTATGTCGGAATCATCGCTTAAACATGTAGAAGTTTTCATTCGTCGGAATATAGATCTCGCAGTGAAAGGCATTACTGAGGAAATGTCACAACGAGGTGCAGGGGATGTTTCCAAGTGGTGGATGTTCATGGCGACTGATGTGATTGGAGAACTCAGCTTTGGCGAATCCTTCAAGATGCTGGAGTCTGGTAAGGTAAGTGCTGCTCCTTTCTAACGCATGTTCGCGAATCTAGAGGTTTTGGTTTTGAACAAAAGTCGCAGAAAAACCAATATATTCTGGATATCGAAGCAAATGGGTCTGCCGGAGGCATTCGAGGCACCTTCCCATTTATGGTGAAGCTATCCAATGTGATCCCACTACCTGCTCTCAAGGTGGCAGCTGCATCTGGAAAGCGATTACGGGAGTACGCGGAACAGTCGATTGCGCGATCGAAAAGAGTGGCTGCAGAGATGGAATCTTGTCCAATGCTTCTTAAGAAACTTTTTCGCAGCGATGAAAACGGGCTGTCTGATAAGGACATTGTAGACAACGCAATGTTATTCATCGTCGCCGGCAGCGATACGACAGCCAACACTATGACGTACCTGACGTGGGCTGTTTGCAAACATCCTCAAGTGAGAGATGCATTAGTGGAGGAGCTCCGTTCTCTTCCGCCAGACTTCACTGACCAAGATCTCCGTGGCTTGACGTGTCTGAACAATATTATCAAAGAAACTTTGCGATTATACGGCGCCGCGCCGTCCGCCTTGCCCCGCATGGTGCCAGCAGAGGGCGTTGAGTTTCTTGGTCATAGATTGCCAGGAGGAACGACTGTATCCACCCAGGCTTACACCTTGCATCGCAAACCGGAAATTTTCCCGAATCCAGAATCCTTCGAGCCTAGCAGATGAACGAATCCTTCAAAGGAAATGAAAGATGCTTTTATGCCTTTCGGTGGTGGATCACGAGGTTAGTTTTGACACGATTAATTGTCTTATACAGAGCCGAAGTGCTAATAGTTAAATACAGTCTGCTTAGGACTGCACCTTGCTGAGATAGAACTTCGCCTGGCCACTGCAATTTTCTTCCGTACACTTCCTTATGCTAAAGTTTCTACGCTTGATGATATGAATGATGGAGATATGGACCCCCGTATATTCTTCGTATTGTCACCAAAAGGCAAAAGGTGTTTGATCTCCAGAGAATGAATTTGAAAGCTATCTTATAAAACAGTAATCTTAGCGATTATTTAATTGTTATAACTCAGGTCACATGGCCATTAGAGGAATCTTGAGCTCAGAATAAAATCACCTGTATCCAAAGGTACTTTCAATACCCTGTGGTGGCAGAATCCGTGGTTAACGAAGTGATCGCTTTGTTAATTACAATAAAATCTTTAATAATCAATCTTGTGTTGAAAAAAGCGTTTTTGTGGTATTAATTAGACTAGTATAAATCTTTATATCTTGTGAAGTTTGTTTTAATCAATAGTGTTTTAGTGAATTTCTTGAAAGTGAGTAATAAGAAGTGGAAATCTTTTCCCCTTTAAACTTTCGGTTAATTTCTTCTGCTTACTTTTCAGTTTTCATGTTTATTTCTTTTTATACCTTCTCCTTATATCTACATATATATCTTTCTGTTTACTTTTACTTCAATTCTAAGGAGCTTTGAAAGGCCCTCATTTTTTCTTCTATTAAAATTCAATGATAAACGAATCTCAAAATTTGTTAATTTTATTTATTATTGATAAAGTGAATGTATTATTGACAATAAACAAAATATTAATATTGTAATATATATAATAGAAATTTGTATGGGGATTTATATTAAATTTCTTTTCATTCCGAATATTAACTTTGCTACTACAGGAATAGCGTGCGGATGCACTCGCTGATAAAGGGACAAGAAAATCAGCCTCAGGGCATGCGAATCGACCTACAGCAAGCGGTATCCGCTCTATAGCAAAAACTACTATAGAATCGGCAGCACAGGTATGATAGATCAAACAGAAACCAATACTCTCCAAACAGTACCAGAAATAGAATCCAAGAAGTACAAACAAATGCCCTAATGAACTAAAACTCTTACAAACTACTCTCCACTATATGCTAGCAATCCGCTCAGTATACGGTAACTTCGAAAACTATCACCAACAATTTAAACACGAGAAAGCAACAATCCATTACTCATATAGCGCATACAAATCCCTCGAGTACATTGTGCACTGCTGCAAAGTCCTCGCGACCTACAAAACCTGGCCTCCAGATATCAGGCCCAAATACCCACCCCGCAACCAGACAGCTCAAGAATGACTACTGAAACAGTTAATGCATATACCAACCAAGTTCGCTGAATTTATTGCTATAACAGACTTCTACAAGAGTATATACCCTAAAACATTACCAGAAGAATAGAAAAAGGAAATAGAAATGGATCAACCGATCCGGGTGAACACAAATATAGAATAGGAGACAACCGATATAACAAGGCTATAAAGAATAAAATCGATATATGCAATACACTACGCTACATTAGAATATATACAAAAACTACCCTTACAGAATAAAACAACTTTCAATCAAAACATTATATAAAAGATCGGAAAGCGTGCACAGAGGCACTCAGAGGATCGGAAACAAAAGCACAAGCGCGCTAGCTATCGCTTGGGAGGCTACTGAGGGTATTGAGACCCCACTCTTAGAAGAGGGGGATCATGTAAATTAGAGATCATCCCGCAGTTAGCCCAACCGTAATGCCCCCTGGGAGGTTCGCCTATACGGCCCGGTTGAAAATTACTAATAATAATAATAATAATAATACTACAGGAATAGAACCCTTGACCAGCAACCATGTGACGTCTCCCGCCAGTTCTCATCGTTCCCAGCGCTGGGACTCGATAGGAACAATGGGATAGTAAACCGCGATGAACTATATATATTGCGTGTGCATTGCACACAGAGCCTGAAACAAGATAGCGAAGGTAGCTAAGCGCGCTTGGGGGCGAGAGGACACAATTCGCGTATCCCCTCTCCCTCTCGCGAGTGCATAGCTTTCGATTATACAGCTAATCAGAATTGTTCCAATAGTCATTTGTCAGGGTACTTGAGTTTGGGGTTTTTAATTTATATAACTCGAATTCAATCAGATTGTTAACAATTATAGATTTTATTTTAAAATCCTTTTACTATTATTTACAGTACTTCATACTGATATAGTAGTTTCAGGCGCATTATTATTTTTACCAAAACGATAGTATCTTGGTGGAACCTCATTGATCAACGATAATATCTTCATTGAATGAGAAAGAGAACGAGAACAATTATAAAAATGGTTTCTTTCAGACACTAAACCTTTGTCTAATGCTGAAAAGATATCATTATTACAATGCATTCTTACGGCGGGTTAACTGGGAGCAGTAGTATTGAAGATCTCACCAAGTCATATCGAGAATCATACAGGATGGGACTTTTTGAGCGCGCAGGAGGTATCCTTATTGATAGTAAGACTATCTTCATGACTCTTGATATTGAAAAGTACCCAATGAAGCAGGGTCTCGGAGGCAGTTCTTTCGATATAGTTGTAGCTTCAAACGTTCTTCATGCAGTCAAATTACGCAAGGAAACAATGAAAAGTGTCATAAGCCAGGGGGTCACCTTCTACTTCTAGAAACAACAAGACAATGGTCAAGAAGTCAATTTGTGATGTGTGGCTTACTAGGCTGGTGGCTTGATTTTGACGATGGCCGGAAATACGCTTCTATAATTGCAGAACGCCCATGGCATACCCTGCTCCAGAATACCGGGTATTCTGGTCTCGACTCAAGGATAACCTCAAGAGCTACTAGCGTGAAGCTAGATACTATATACCGGCAATAGCGTAACATTGTTACTTGCCAAGTTGCCATCCATACCACATCACATGAGATAAATTACGAACAAGTCTATTTTTCTCCATGACTTCGCTTCCGCTGCAGCTACACCAAACTTCTGATATGAACGTTCAAGATGATCATCTAAAACACATATATCCAACCACCATAAGAAGCCTTAACGCAGACGACAATCCCGAACATACTCCACAATATCCGCACCAAACCACTTCAGCCAGAAAGTCAGGACAGGGACTTCTCTTGATGACTCTCTTCATGACATGTATACCCGAATATTTTAGTTGCCTCTCCGCCTACACACATCTACCTTTCAATCCTCACAATATTCACAGTGCCTTCAGCGCACCCACAACAAAAAAGACCAACGCCGGGACATCCGTCATAAACGTCCTAATCGTATGCATCCGCAACCAAGCCCCCATGGAGCGCGTACTATTTCCTCTAGGAACATCTCCTTTAATGTCCGCCAACAGCTTCAGGGCTCTCTTGCCAAAGATAGCAATATGCGCCACACTAAAGAGAAGACCCATCGCGTACCATTTCTCCGCACCCGTCACTTTCAGCCGAGGACGCGCGACGAGAAGGTTGAGCATCCCGAGAACATAGGTGCCCGGATATCCGAGAAGAATCACCCAGCGACCCCGGCGACCCCAGAGCTGGAACCAACTGGGAAGATGCACATTTGCCCGCTCGCGAAATGTAGGCGCCATCCAGGTGCCAAGGAATATGTGCTCATCGACTGCAAACATCAACACGACGGTCGACGTGATCACGGGAAGAAGACGGAGGACACGAATAGAGGTATCGGTAACAGACATAGTGATTAGAGTGATGTTAGACGTGAGTTTGTGTACGTGCGAGTCTGTCGCTTGGGAAATTCTTGGTAAGAACGGATTTTAGGAGTTTGAAAGTTGAGATTTATGAGTTGAAGTTGGTTTCGCTGGGTCAGAAAGACTCGGTGCCACATTGTAAAGTATCGTATGACAGCCGGACTGTTGAATTGATCCGATACCGACTCGATAGTAAGATTTCAAACTGTGTTTCATTGGCTCCCACGCCTGCTTACATATGATTATTGTTCCACACAGCATTTTATGTTCTCGGTTCAAGGATCTAGTATCCGACAACCCCAATTTATTGGCGTACTATCACCAACTCTCACAACATCATTCTCCGAATATTCAGTCCGCAGACTTTTAATAGGTAAGAAACGACTTTAGAGCCACCCATTCTATCTTAATCATCACAATATAGCCTCACCAAAACCGTGCTTATCGATAATACTCCTTCAAGGGAGAACAAATGCCCTTAGTTCCCAAGGGCGAATCTGAAGTCATTATCGTTTCGATAAAAGCAGACCTTTTAATCGTGCAGGATCATATTGCAACCAAGTATCAGAAACGAAACAACTCCGTTCCGACAGAAAACTTTCTTACAAATCATCAATCAACCCTCCCATCATCCCCAACAAACGCAAATTACGCAACCCACTCAAAGAGAGGCACCGAGACCCCACCGTGTTCTGTTCAGCTAGATACCTCCTAGTAATCTCACTGCATCATGGCAGACCCCCTGGCAACATTTCCGAGGGTCAACTAACCTCAGGTCAAGCAATGGAGGCTCTTGACTGTGACACTGACACGACGACCGTTGCTAATCATGCCCATACAAACTATTGCAAACTTGAATAGCCAGCCAATCATGCTCTCGCTACTATTTTGATAGGAGGAATTCATTTGATATTCCGTTACACTTCAACATTTTGCGTAAAGAGTTGGCAACTTTGCCTTGAATTGTTTGTTATTCGATTCAATTCATATATGGCACTGTGAGCCAATCTCCCATTCTGCTAGCCAAATACCCCCGTGTTTCGCTTTGGCTTTGGCTTTGATGGTTACACCTTTTCGGTCCAGATACTACAAAGTCTCTTTCTAAACGAAATCGTGCCGCAGACGTGCACAAAATGTCATGTAATTCTAATAAATTATAGATAACGTAACTTGACTAGAAGTGGGTCATATCATGATATGAATCAAAATCACCCCCTTATTTCTTTATTTTACACATTTATTCAATATACAATGAATCGAAAATCATTAAATCATAATGAATCGAAAGATAATATTCAAAAGGCTATAGAAAATCTAAAAAATAAAGAATTTACTTTAATTCGAAGTACTACTATTCATTTTAAAATTCCGAAGTCAATCTTGATAAATCGAATGGCTGGATGATAATTATGTTTTTAATCTTACAAATTCTTTTAAAAACTTTTTAATACGGAAGAGAAGATTCTAGTATAATAGATTTCATGATTAA